ACCAAGTCCTCAGGGAGCTGAAATCCTTTGGGGAGCAGGCACATGGTGTAGTGTAGTTAAGAACATGGGCTTTGGAGTCAGCCCTGGAATAGGTACTGATTCACCTACCACTCCCAATGTCACTTTAGGTGAATCATTTCACCTCTCAAACCTTCAGTTTGGAATAACAGCTGATCACACAGAGTGGTTTTAAGGATTGGGTGAGGTAATGAATGGAAGCATTTAGTACAGGGCTTGACCTTGAAGCTCTAAATAAATGGTAGCTACTATCAACAATAGAGTACAGTGAATGGGGACCCAAAGGAGGATTATATATTTGATCTCTTGAAAGGTCAATATTTTTCTATTTTCTAAAGTGTTTCTTTTATTCTTGTTGGCAAAATTGCCATTAGTTAAACTTATAAAGTTCTTTTCTTGCTGCAACATTATATTTTTCCTTTCCTATTACATCCTTAATTCTCCTAGTTTCTTTGTCCAGATACCTGCCCCCACACATATACACACCAAGAACTCAAACACTAAACACAAAAGTCAATCCTTTGATCAGTCCAAACCTTGTAATTATGGAATAAAAACGTTATTTAGTAGAAAGGCAATAAGACGTAAGAGGAAAGAGCATGGAGTTTTTCAGACCTGGGTTTAAATTATAACCTTGCACAAAAACTTACTCTCTTTGAACTCACTCGTTCTCTTCACCTCTAAACAGAGATAATAATATTCACCTTTTAGGACAATCGTGAGAATTGAATAAACTCAGAACATAACAAATATTCAAAACAAGTATTAATTTTCTTCTTCTCATCAACATTTAGTATCTTTAATTATTTTAATCTAGTGGTTCTTAAACTAGAGAGATCTCAGGACTCTCTCACACTCTTAAAAATTAAGACCTCCCTCCCAATAGCTTTAGTCTGTGTGGATTATCTCTATCAATATTCAGCATATTAGAAAATAAAACTGAGAAAATTTTAAAATCATTAGTTATTGATTTATTTTATAATTACAAGAAGAAATGCACTGTATTTTACTATAACACAACTTTACCCCCCAAAAATATACATTTTCCAAAACCAAAATCAGCAAAAAGAGTAGCCTGTTTTCAAATTTTTACAAATCTCTTAACATCTGGTTTAATAGAAGACAACTGGATTCTTATACCTGCTTCTGCATTTAATCTGTTGAAATATTTTGTTTTGGTTAGATTCCATGTGGAAAGTCAAAGCTCACATATATAGTTAGAAAAGGGAGACACATTTAACAGTTTTTTCTTATGACAGTGGATGTTATTTGATACTACATTCAAACTAAACAAGAGATAAAAGTTAGTTTCGATATGGAATCTGAAACAATATCTCAACTTTTCATATTCTGTTATGTTAAAAGACATTGGTCTGTCTTGCACTTTGAATGGCTTTTACTAATGTGAGTGATTTTGTAATATAATGCTTTGGCCCTATGGAAAACATTGCTTCACTGAGTTACACAGATCTTCCAAATTTCATGATACAATATCGGAAACATCACATTTGTTAATATCACCATCAATATCATCAGATAATTCTTAACACATTGGGAAGCTGTTAATCTCATGGGTGGCAGATGAAAGTTTTCCAAAATTCTAATTTTCCAGCTACCTCGAATTTTATCTTTGGCAGCAAATACTGATGGTTGTTTTCCTTGAAGTGACAGGCTCACTTCCCTTATTTTTAAGAACGTATGTGCCAAATAACGAAGTTGGATTAGGTATTTGTTTAACTGTCCAGTATTCCCCAGGTGAAAATAGTATTCCATTAAAAAAGGGCCAGTTCAGCTCAGACAATCACAAAAGTGCTTTTCCACTATAAACATTGTACTTTGGTGAGCAGCAGAGGTGTTATATGCATATTTCTACTGTGGTGACACAGAAATACTTTTTTAAAAGCATGTTTTTAAGGGTGTAGACATAATAAAATTAATAACTTTTACTGCGCCATCAAGGACAATCAAGTAAAATTTGCATTTTAAAAGTTATTTTAGTAGATGTTTATTGGTAAAAAATGTAAAGACAACTATACAGTTTTGTGCCTGTGTCTTTTGTGCCATGCTAAGGCACCAGCAGTTTTGCTCACTGTGGCTTTTGCATCATCAGTGCAAATGTCAGCACAGTGAAAAAGACACATAACATCTTTTATTATTGTGAAAAGAGTTTGACCTTAAGACTGTGGAAAGGTCTTAGGGACCTCTGAGGGTCTGTGCACCACACTTGTAAAACCTATTTTAATTTCGTCTGTAAGGCCTTTTGGAGTTTGCAAAGATGTATGTAGAAGGATCACTACATTATTTAATTACAGAAAAATTTCTGAAATAAATTTTCAGTAATAGAGAGATGGTCAAATAAACTATGATACATCTCATAACCATTAAAATTTATGTTTTCATTTTCTTGTTTACAGTTTTATATAAAACCCAAATTTTCTTCAATGAACATGCATTATTATTTTAATCAGGAGAAAACCATATGATTGTAGAGATATCATTAGCCAAATCTATGATCTGTCCACAGGTGTGTGCTAGATTCTGTGTGAAGTGATTTATGTTAGAAATGACAATAATGCTTAGGAAGCACTTACTCGGAAAAGCTCACTGTGCTGTGTATTTTGCACATTTGATCTCATTCAAGCCTCACCACTATTCTACTAGGTAGATGCTATCTGTGGTAAACTCTTCAGAGTTGCAATGAAAGCCCATGCAAAATATTAAAAACAAGAGAATAGATTGCCTTCTGAGAGCTAAAGTTAAACACAATGAATCAGAAAGGAAATATGAAAAGTTCTCTGGAAGGGAAGTGATTGACAGACTGGCTTCTTGACCCACTAGACCAGGTATCCTGTCATAGCTAAAAGAATGAAAGAGCCTGGTAGGTTAGAGGAGTGCAAAGAAGTGGGGATCACAGATGCAAGTATAGGCCATACTCATCCAAGGGCCTTAGCCAAGGCACTTGCAGTTTCTAGTCTCCTTGGCTTTTCTAGCTCCACAAACTTTTGTTAGCTGACTACAGGTGGGGTGACCAGGAGCACCCATTCTGGAGATGGCTGTGTTGGGACATCTCCAACTGTACCAGTTAGTGCTGGGGTCCTCCAATTTCCCTTGTTTTGGACCCTGAGGACACATCAGATTATGACATGCTTTCTGTGAAAGTCTACTGATAGTAAGAAAATGACTACCCTTGCACACAGCAGCATTCTGGTCCCAGTAGAGCTCTATTACTCTGTGTGAACAAATCCATAGTCATACTAATTTGTACATACAGTTGATTTTCATTATTCACAAGAGTCTTGTATAGTCTGCTTGAACACTGAATTAGCAAATGCTGAACCATTGCTCCTAAGGGAAACACAGGGTTATGTTCCCATGAGCCTCTGGTCATGTTTTCACCAACTGATCAATACATAATTTTGTTTTCTGTCTGTAACATCTTACTTAATATATACTGCTGATCCATTAACATTGAACTCACAGCCAACAGCCACTATAACTCATGCCACAACAAAGCACATCACAGCCTTCTTGCACTTAGGAACACTAGACAGCCTTTTGCACCACACTTGAGGGCCATTCTAAACAGCAAAATCACCAACCAAAAGCACAAGAATGCAAAAAACGTGGCACCAAATAGACCATGGAAAGGACACCTGCTTACATATGAAAGCTAAAGCAAGAAGGCAAAGCCCTGTTTGACCTCAGTTGGGAACATGTGTATCAGGTGACTCAATTTTTTGGCCACTCTATGCATTTCCATGAATGACTGAGAAAGTACTGAGAGTATTGATTTGGGGGTTACAAAGAAATTTTAGCAAGTAGGTGAGTATGCAGATATAGAATCATGAATAATGAGGATTGACTGTAAACTCAGGCAGATGAACTTGATGAACAGGAGCCTGACCCTGAAAGATTCGCTGGCTCTTTCTGTGTTGACAAGACAGGCTTCTGAACCTGCAAAGCTGCTCTTAGAAGAGCCAACTAGCTCTCCCCAGGCAGCACACCACAACCTCACTGGGGGCTACACCTTTTGTCTCTACTTCTACACCAGTGTTTCTCAAGCTTTAAAACAATGTAGATTGCAAAGCCCACCCCTAACATTTCTAACTCAGTAGGTCTGGAGTAGTACCACAGATTTTGCATTTATAACAAGTGATGATCATGCTACTGGTACAAGGGCCTCATTTTAAGAAACTTTGCTCAATACTGTTATCTCCATTCTACAAATGAAAACCCAGAACTCAGAGGGTTGAGGAACTTGCCCCAATTCTTATGCACAGCTACTAAATGGTGTTCAGAATAAGATGTGGCTGAATTTATGATCAGCTTTTTCTGTTTTACTATAATATTTTGGGGGCAGATATCCTAACATAACATTTTCCCCAGATGTACACTGTATTAAGTGGTAGTTTTATTTCTAGGTTGGTCCACAACAGTCTGTTTAGTCATAGTACAGTTGGGATCTAGAACCAAGAGTCCTGCTCTGGTTTGGGGGCCCTTGGCAAGCAGGACTGGGAGTGTAGGAAGGAGTAGAGGAGGGAAAAGAAAGTTTTCACTCTCAGGGTGACTCATACTTAGTATGACAGCTTAGGTCATCAAGTATGAGGCACTGTGCAGCAAGACCGAGAGTGATGGTGGATTTTGGTTGAGAGGCAATAGGAAGTAATGATTACACACACATACACACACACACACACACACACACACACACACAGGAGTGGGGAGTCTGATCACCTGATTATCTGTTATTATCTGAGCCTGAGCCAGAGTATGACACAGTGAGCTCTAAGTAGCTAATATGGTTAATTTGGAAGAGGTGGGTGGGAGATGACAACTTTAGCAGTGAGACTCATAGCCAAGTTACAGAGTCAGACTCTTCAGAAAAATTCATTTTCATTTAAGACAATGTTGCCAGACTATTAGATCTATTAATTGTGTTATATCACATTTCATCAAGAATCTTTTCAATTTTACTTTTGCAGTAGTATTCCATACTTCTGCTTACCTACATTTGGATTCAAGCACATTTTGCCATTGACAAATGATGCTGAAAGATTCAATGAAATTGTGAAGAATCAGAAAATTTCTGCTAATATCGACACACCCGAAGGTGGATTTGATGCAATTATGCAAGCTGCCGTGTGTAAGGTATGCTGAGGGGAAGGGTGTTTTATTGTGATAACACAAATTTCATCTCTTATTAGCACACCTACTTTGAAAAGCTTGGCTAACTTTATCTTTCCTTTAATTGCCATATGTCTCCATTTGGTATTTTTCTAAAAACAGAATTTCTGTAAAAATTTTAATTCAATCATGTTACAATGGGACAGTGTTATGCCTAATATTTGAATAACCTAATAAAATTGTAGAAGTCTTGGGGAGATTTTACTACAGCAAGTGATGTGTGATTAATTTTCAGTTTTAAATCAGATTAATCTTTTTTTAGTTAATCATTGTAAAAAAAAAATCAAACGCAGAAATTAAAAAAAGTAAAAATGCCCTGAATCAGTATAAATCTCTACATATGAGTACAGTGGTGCCTCGGTTTCCGAATATCATCCATTCCGGAAGACCATTCGAGTTCTGAAACATTGGAAAACCGAGGGATCAACAGCCCGCAGCTGGGCCTCAGGATCTTGCCCTCAGCAGAAGCCGTGTGGCATGTTCAACTTCTGAGCAGTGTTCGAAAACCGAAGCATTTACTGTCAGGTTTACGGCATTCGTAACCCGAAATGTTCGTCAACGGAGATGTTAGGAAACTGAGATACCACTGTAAATATCTATTGTTTTGAACCAACAAAATAAACATCCCAAGCCACACCATGTCTACAACAGCGCAGGAACACCACTTGTCCTTGACAGTCAAGCACGAATCCACAGGAAGGATTCCCCTATCTTGAGATGACAGCCCTTCGTGGAAAATATCAGGAAACACACAGGCTGAAGTTCCTAGAAGGTGGGAGGGCCAGGATCTAGGGGAGGAAGGAAGGATCAGGTAGGATGGTGCAGCCAGGATGTGCTTTTGCCCAACTAGTTCCTGGACTAACGTTAATTAAAGGGGAGAGCTCTGCTAAGAAATAGCCATCAGCCCATCTTAATTAGCAGTACCGCGGGGTGATACTTTGATAGGCAATTCTTATCCTTCTATTATGTTTATAATTTTTAGATGATACAGTAGGAAGAGAAAAATGTCCCTAGATGTTGGGTGACAGTTTAATGAAACAGGCTTACTCGGAGTCCATTTCGTGCCACTTTCTGACTAGTTTTGCTTCAGCTTGGATTTGGGACGCTCTGTGACCGCCCTCCCCTCATTTGTCTGGTAAATTGAAACTGGACAGTAAAAATAACTATGTAAAAAGTTGAGATCAACTGGATACTGATTGTAGTGGAACTTTTTTTTCTTTCTGAAATATAAATCATCTGAAAATGTTATCCAGAAAGTAACAATCATCACAGTATTTTGTGATTTTAATACATTAATATTATCAACTCACAATAGATGAAAAAGGCTAAAATAGACCAGCAATATAATTTTTATAATCTGAATGTGTCATAATTGATTCACTCTTGATAAATGCCTGTCTATATCCAATACAATCCAAATGCTCCTTTCTCACTGTAGGAAAAAATTGGCTGGCGGAACGACTCCCTCCATCTCCTGGTGTTTGTGAGCGATGCTGATTCTCATTTTGGAATGGACAGCAAACTGGCAGGCATCGTGATTCCTAATGATGGGCTCTGTCACCTGGACAGCAAGAATGAATACTCCATGTCAACTGTCTTGGTGTGTAATCTGCACTCTACACTGTTTTCAGGGCTACAAGAAGGCAAATGAAGCAATCGTTGCTGTAGGACATAGCCGAATAACCCACACTCGGTGAAAACAGTGTACATTTTCTGAGTTGAGGTGAACAAATTGCCCAGTCTGGATCCTCACAACCCTTAGAGGTTCCCACAGGAGTACAGGTGGGTGGTGGGGTTATAAGGGAAGTTTGGATCTGCAATAGCACAGATGATCCCAGAACCTCCCAATTTTTTGAAGAGCTGGAGGCCAACAAAGAGCAGTACAGTCAGCTCATTCTGTTCTCAACCACAGGCCTAGAAAGGGGGGCTCAGACCAAAACAGTAATTACCTAGGAGTCGCTGTGAATGATGGTCCCAGTGCATGCCCCCTAAATAATGCCATACTTTCCTGGACCATGGGGCTCTGCAGAAACAATTAGTCAAGCACTGGTTGGTTGGTGCCTATTAACATTTGGCATATTTTTTGTCATTTGAAAAATGCTGGTGACATGCAAGGAAAAAAACACTTGACTTATGTAAAACAAGGTAAAATTTTCAGAGCTCCTTCAATGCACATTAGCTCATTCAATTCTCATCACAATCCTACGTACTTAACACATTCCTTGAACAGACCATGAGGCTACCATGTTCTTGCACATGTTATTCTCTCTGCCTGGAATGACCTTCCCTCTTAGGCTGCTGAGAAACTCTTAATTATTCTTTAAAACCCAGCTCAATCATGACTGCTCCCAGGGGGCCCTTTTTGACCTCCACTGGCCAGATAATGATCACTTCTCCCCTCCCTCTTGCACATAGATATCTTGTTCCCCATCATTGTGTGGAAGTGTGTTTGCTGCCGTCTGTGTTTATTTCTCTAATGGGCGCTCCTCAGGGCCAGAAATGCCTGGAACACAGTGGGTGCTGACTATTTTAAGAAGTAGAATTGAATTATGAAGCAGCAACCTGAGAAGGTTATATTATCCCCATTTAATATCTGGAAAAATGTGGTACAGAGAATTTAAGCGACTTCTTAGAATGACAAAGCTGTAGAAGTCATGTAGGGGAGATAAAGGGAGGGAGAGAGAGGAGAGAAAAGGAAACAGAGAGAGAGAGAGAAAGGGAAAGAGAGAGAAAGGGTATTCTAATTTCAGATTAGAAAAAAAATTACTCTCCAAAAAAGAATTCAGTGAGATAATGTATGTAAAGGCTTAATACAGTGCTACCAATTAGTTTAAAAAAATCTAATGGTTCATAAATTATCTGCTATCATTTCTTGCCTAAATTTCTAAACTTCAACATGAATGTATTCCCCAAACTTATATATTCTTTAGTCATATAAACTGCCTTTCCATGTTACAAGGTCTATGAGGGTAGCCACATTTTATCTTTTAGTCAATAAGGAGCAAGAAACTGTGAGAAATTAATTCCTTTTTTGTTGTTGCAACTTTTCAAATGCCCCTTAATAGATATCTTGGGAAAAGCAGGACCATAGAAGCAAACACTACCTGTTGGTTAATATGACCTTCTCATCTAATAAATGTTCAATTCACTCTTGCTGAGTTCCTACACATGCACTGAAGCCATGATCTATTTCCATGCCCTCAACACTGGGCCAGGTTCCTGGGCCACAAAACAATAAGACATGGTCCCTGGCCTTGAGGAACTTGCAAGATAATTGTGGGAACTAAACCAATTGTAGGAAATCATAATCGCCCACCCATGAAGGGCTACATGGTATGATTCTGGCTACACATGCGATGCACAGCAGTTGAAAGGTTTGAGAACATGTGGGGATTAGGAGCAGCCAGCATCGGAGGAATTCATGCTTAAGAGTGAAAGATGCTTAGTGTTTGGGCAGTTGAACAGTGAGGACAGTGAAAATGTCAGACTCAGGAAGATTTATCTTACTTGGATTCTACCAATATCTACTAATAAAAATCCAAATGACATGGAAAGCACGTATTACACAGCCAGAGTTGCCGTGGTGTCATTTACTTGAAGTGCTGCGAATATGTGAACACACCACACCAGTGTACAGTGACCCTCCTCTTTGGCTGATTTCAGAGCCACTGACAAATTCTTAGTTTAGTTATTTGCAGGCTACTCTTTCCCTTGCGTTTCCTCTTTCTACATTATCCATATTTGGATTCACATGAGAGGTAAATGCGAGGCGTGTTCTTCAGCCTTGGAAAATAACGGTCATCTTCAGATTTGATAATAAATAACTTCTTTATTTTTTAAAGGATCCCTGTCACTTGGGAATGACGTGTCAATGGAACAGATGTGCAATGCAATGTGTTTTCAACTGTCCTGTGAGAACATCACAGGATCCCATAAAATTGATTAGTGACATCAAAAAGGCAACATGACCAAACGCAGGAACTGGCACAGGAATGTCTCAAGTCAGATAGACGTAGGGATCATAGTGTCATTCCTCAGCAGGCTGCCCCTTCCTCAGCCCTTATCTCACCCCATTCAATTCCAGTACCAACTTCAGAGCTACAAGAGTTGCCCAGTCACATCCATCATAGTCTGTCTACCTCCCTCCTCTCTAACATTCCCTCCAACTCAAGCTTGCTGGCAAGTGGCTCTTAGAAGAGGAGATGTTAAAATATGACCCACTACCAGCCATTAAATAAATTTCAAGCTATCTCCTTAGAAGTAACAGAGCTTAAGTACACCACAACTCATTGACAGACTCTTAGGAATTAACTGGATTTATCAGATTTAAGAAACAATTATTAAACAAATTTAGTAATACTAATTGTATATTTGTTTACTTAAAGTGACAGATGCAATAATGCCTACGAGCATTGAAATGTCATATTCATCGAGATATCTTTGAAAGAAACATTCTTTCCTTTATTTTGCATGTTTTTGTTAAGATGACACTTAACATCTTTACTTTAATTTTAGGAATATCCAACAATTGGACAACTCATTGATAAACTGGTGCAAAATAACGTGTTACTGATCTTTGCCGTAACTCAAGAACAAGTTCATTTATATGAGGTAAGCAACCATAATTCAGGAAATTCCTTCAGGGAGATTATTCAACATGAAACTTTAACATTAACTTTGTGAGTTTAATACACAGGATGACATTAGAAAATCATTAACATGTGCCAACTATACTGGAGGCTCAGCAAAGTGGACTCAGTTACTGTTTGCAACTTAAATTGTAAACTAAAGAATTTGCATAACCCATGGGCACAGACAAGAGTGCGGTGAAGGCCTTGGGGGGGCGGTAGAGGGAGTCAATGGGGGCAAAGGGGGGACATCTGTCATACTTAACAATAAAGGTAAATTTTTTTCAAAAATTATAAACACGGAGGTACAGAGAGGAATGGGGACAGAATATGCTGGGACAAGGAAGGAAGAGTTGTGGAAATGAAAAGGTAAGTTGAAAGATAGTACCGATAAACATAGGACCACTTACCTAATGGAGAAGTAGTCCATCTTTCCTTGAACTATTTCATCTAATAAGGAAGGAGTCGACAGAAAGCAGAGAAAATTATGAACATAGGAGAATTCACTTTAAGTTCCCTGACATTTGCAAATTAGACACATAAAAATATGAGTAGAGACACAGTTTAAGCTATCGAGAAGTGAAAAATTGAAAGAAAAAAAAACTTGTTAAATTGGGCCAAAAAATAATTTCCTCTTTAAAGTAACTGGATTTGCAGTTCAACTTTTGGAGTGGATGTACCAAGTGCAGAAAGAATGGTTTCATTAGATGCAATAATGTTCTTAAACCAATGCATAAATTGTGAAATGCTTATGCAAAGGCAAGAGGTTTCTGTGGTTTCTTTTCAGCCTAAGAAAAACAATGTGTCAAAATGCTATGAAATGGGACACTAGCAAATGATCTATTCTCAATGAGCAATGTCACAGAGAAGTAGGGAGTCTGCAGCCTGGGCCCTAGAAAACGTAGAAGTAATAAGTGTACATTAAATTGTCTCTGGCTTCTATGCAGAAGCTTCAAACGCGCGTAAATTCAGAGTCTGATCTTCCGTTCCCTTTGAAAGGGCCTCTTAACAAGCTTGGTGACTTTACAGGGCTCGGGAAACTCAGATTATTTCACAGAAGCTTTGATTAAATGCCACTCACTGCTGAGGGCCACGCAGCCCATGAACCTGCATCAGGTTCTGTAGAAAGGATTCAGGAGGAGATCCTATCTCGCATTTTTAATGAGAGGAGGGTATTGTACTCCAGGTGAGATTGCCTTCTGCTGAAAACCAAAGAAGTCCCTTGCAATCAAGCTGCATACTCGACGCCTTTGTTCTACTCAGAGACCACGTGGGTTCACTTGATCTGGGCATTTTCTTAAAGCTCTTTAGTACGTGATACTTGTTTCCAGTGGTTTTAAGTAGTAGAGCTGCAATATACCATAAATACAATAGTGAGTCTATTCTACCTTTGATCCTTAAGGCTAGCATGAGAGGACCCTGGGGGTCTCAACACCTCCTCCACAGCAGGGCTCCCATTTAGAAGGGGGAGGAGGGTTGCACAGAACTTTTCTTAAAAGGAGAGTCAGGGAAACACGACTGATGATCATGAACATAAACACCTATAACTCATGTTGGTAATAGTCCTTAAGACTCACAACTCATATATACACCTCCTGCAAATTGCTATTAAAAAGACAGAGGAAGCTGAAAAATAACTACGTGGCAAAACAGAACCTGTCGGATTTAAGCTAGTTGCATCCTCAGTTCCCCTGTTGCAAAGAAAATGATCATTTCCATGGAAAACACCAGATTAGAGCCTGCCTCTAATGTAACAGCAGGACATTTATTCTGCCTGCCTACTAATCTCATTATGAAGCGAATTTATGTTCTGTCAAGATCTGTGGTCTTTACCATCCCAGGTTCCGCTAAATTTGAAGGGACATTTTCAGGGAGCCACGCAGGGGACCAGGTCAGCAGCCCACTCTGTGACTCCAGTCCTTTCATTGTTTTATTTTTATTTTATTGGACTCACCATTCCATTTGCATTAGTGTGGGCAGGCGGCAGCCTGGGCTAAAGATAATGACAGCATCATTGCACTTCCCTGAAGGCTTCACACAGCATGAAAATGCTGATGTCTTGTTTTATTGATGATGAAAACTGAAAATAGACCAATAATGGCTGTGTTGCTTTTCCATTTAAATCTCCTAGATTTAAATGTGTACAGGAGCCCTGTGCAACCTGATGTTTGGATAGCTGCGATAGAGGAACATAAATAACTACCAAAAAAAAAAATCACTGAAAAATAAAACCAGCACTAGGATTAATAAAACAACGAAGTGGTTGAATCCAGTGGCAATTCCAGAGGGCAGATTGCTTGCCCCAGTGCTGTGTTGAGCATGGTTATGTGCATACACCCCAGGCGGGGCATGGGTCGGGTTCAATGGCACCCCATCTTGCAACAAATACGATTTATGTGACCCATTCACAGAATGCAGGGAAAATGCCTGTTTTTTCAGCAGTGTTGGTAGACGCTTTGGGGTGCGCCAGTGTGCAGCGTCACTGTCCTTTGTGGCAACAGCAATGAGCAAACAAAGGGAAGGATGGAGTAAGTGGTTTTGCCTCAGTTCAATACCACTGCGCTTTGCACCCCAGACTCCAGCAAACAGATGACTTTGAACAAACTTATTATTATGAATGGTTTCCTGTTGGTCCAATTACAGGTTTCAGAAGATAATGATAGATAATAGACTGAGCAGTAGGTAGCATATTACATTCTAGTGCTAAATACCATTTTGATTCAGGATTTAATTACCCAAGCTTAAAAAAAAATTTTTTTAACCTTCTCTGTTGTTTTCAGATGTTTACTGTTAATTTACATTAAGATGGAATCAGACTACTAAATCGCAAATATCTAATTTGACTAGTCTTGCCTTCCTAGTGAGACAACTGAGATAAAAAGCAATTAAATCAGTGTTTTTTAGTACATTGTAAAATCATATTATTAATCACCTGGGATTATTTGCAAGATTTTAAAATACTTTATACCTTTCAAAATGTGTACATCTGCCTGGAAAATATGAGTTTTGTGAAGTTAATAAACAATAATTATTATATAACCTGGTATTTATGATGTAATGTTGAAACACAGCACTTAGAAAGTAAACAAGATATACTGGCAATAGACATGTCCAGTTTAGTCAGTAGCATCTATGACCACTAATAGATGTCCCTATGGTTTTTAGGACAGAGTGATGTGTCTAAAGCATGGGGACAAGGGGACCCAAGCAGGTTTTTATACCACCACAGGGCCCTTCTCTCTGGAGGTAAAAAGTCCTCGATTATCAGCTCTTTGAGGAGAATGGTGAGTCTTGCTCACCTTTCTGGTTAGGCCCATTCTCCATATATAATAGATTCTCAGTAAGTATTTGTTGAATAAATTCTTTAAAAATTGCAATGCAAGTACCTCATTTTTTCTCAGATTGAGTCAAAGTTTCTAAATAAGGACTTGGAGTTTTGGGTGACGAATAACTGTCAAGGTTGAGGGAGCCCATATACAAAAAAGCAGGTGGGGGCCATTGCTACTGCCGTCCCTGCCGCCCGCTGTCCCATCCCCTGCCCCTCTGCTTGGACCCAGATGCACCAGAGAGGAAAGAAGTACTCTGCCATCCATCTTAGGACCAACCTGTTGGAAAAGCTCCAGAGCCTCCTTACTAGGCCCTGAAAGGAAAACCCCTGAACGATTACCCTTTTGATGGTCATTATATCTAAAAACAAGCATGAAGAGTAGCCACAATATGCTCTGAGCCTGATGTTCTCTTGTAGCCTGTGAAAAGTATCGACCATATACAAGTCTCAATTTTTCAGGAATCAATAACCCAGTTTTTTATCTCACCCCTTCTTTCTTCTTTTCGCTCATCTGTTGAGCTTTTTCACTGCAGCAAGAGAGTTGAAAGGAGGCAGAGAAATTAGGAAGGGAGATAAAACAAAAACTGGATCCTTTTACTATTTGTTAGCTGTTTTGTTATTGTTTTGCTTTATAATGTTCACTGTTGGAAAAGATCAAAACAATTTTGATGGGATGAAAATTCTTTTATCTCTGGACTCAGTTTTTATAAGACACACACACAAACCAACCCCCAGCTTTAGTAGTTAATGGCTCAGCTTGGAGGGGGGAAATCACCACAGATTCCAATGACCTTCACTCAGATAAAATACAGTAATATAGCTAATTTTAGGGTATGGTCTAGAAAGTTGTTTTTTATCTTATCAACCCCATCCTATAATGGGGAATTCCAAACTTATGCTTTTAGAAAAAATAAAATCATCTACGAATATAGAGAAAATTTGTGGATGATGAGAACTATCCATGGAGTTAATAAATTGTTTTTACTTCAGGTATAATGGAAAAGGAATTTGATTTCTCTTTAACTGAGGTATCTGGGAACAAAGACTGAGGAGAGCCAGCTGCCTACACTTTCCTCATTAATAAAAACCTTTCTCAGACAGGGAGGATTGGAAATAAAACTCACGTCCTCAGATTATCAAGGCAAAGTTGTTAGAAGTATTTTTTCAGTCTAATTAATAAATTGCAATCATGAAAAATCATCAGTAGCTACCCCTTAGATTCCACATGCTACTTTTCTTCTAAAAAACTCAAAGGCTCATAATCCAGACAATAAACAGGAAAAAAAGATTTAAATTATGGTCTTAATGAGATACCCTGTTAAGTCAACCTATGTAGAAATATAACACAGGATTGCATCAGAACAAGGCCTGAATACTTCGAGATTTACACAGCACCCGGGATATCCAGCATACAACTGAAGCCAAGACACTACTGATTGCATTCATTCACTTATTCATCAAACATTTCATGGACTCCTCCAAGAACCAGGGTTTCTGACTGTAGAGGAGCATAAGAGTGCCTGCCTCGGTACATCTCATAGAGCACTAGCAGACTTGTAGACCTACAATTTGGCTAAAGAACAGGATAAGGGCATTTTAGAAGTTACATTCTGCAAAGAGACCCTAAAGCAGAGAGTCTGATGAGGGGCCAGAGT